GGTGAGAATGTAAGGAATTGTAGGGTAATTACGGCACGTGTTCTTGGATTCCAGTAGCCCATTTTGTAAACGAGGTAGCCTTCACCGTCCAGAGAAACTCCTGAAAGGGAATTTGGTGCACTTCATGACCTATAAGCATCTAAAACTTGAAGAAACTCTTCAAATATGCGTTTAGTCATCCCTCTGCATCCTTATCCCTTTTCCTTACTTAGATTTTATCACACTGTCAATTTGATTGGAATCGCGCCAATAGTCCAAGATCGGCTCTTTCTGGCCTACCGTATGCTGCCATGCAGCACGGTGGCATACGGTAGCGTCTAGCACCTATAGCAGCACGCTGGCACACGCCATACAATCCATCCATCTACTTCGCCATTGGTCAGATCACTGCTTTGACCAATAGCGAAGCTTGATATCTTATCCATGCACTTCGTTATTGTCGGATAATTGATTTGACCAATGGCAATGCGAACGAAGCGGGATAAAGTGGACCAATTATAGGCCTAAGGGGTACGGTATATCGCTTCTTGCCCAAGTCCTCTGGCATAGTTTTCAAAGAGAGACAATGCCATACTTACCTGGCTGAGCCATAAGCTCCTTGGTCCTTGGTCTAGGCGGAGCACCCTTTACCGACACCGTACCACCAGATTTCGCATTCCACAGACCCACAGGTTCCCCATGCAGTGTCAAATCTTCAATGTCTCCTTCGAAGTCGCGATTGCGAATTTCATTGGCGATCTGTAACTAGTGGGTGTTAGGTAGGTAGTTGTTATCCAGCACATCCTTGTTACCATACCTTGCTTCCCGGCGGGACCCCTCCAACGAACAGGCGGCTCATAGTCTGGTGCAGATTTAGGATGCTCTTGTTACCCTCAGATGAAGCCCGTTTCTCTTCCTCAACCTAAAAGGATACCCGTCAATAGCTCAGCTACCCAAAGGTAAAACCAACTTACCTGATCACTATTCGGTGCATAAAGTTTCACTGTTGCTACTTTTCCTATACGTTCTATACTCAGTTGGCGCCACTGATTGTCATTTACCGGCCTAAAGATGTCCTTTTCAAAATTTTAGAGATGTGAAAAATTTGAAAATTTTGAACGCACGTGTTCAGAGGAATAACGATGGGTTTCTCGCCCAAGTTGATGGTAACCTTTGGTCTTCCATGCTCAATTTCCACAGCGATATAGTCATCAGTAGGTACAGCTCGAGTGCCAGCCGATCCTTCTTCATTACCGAAGAAGAGTGGGATTCCTTAAATAACAAAATTTATTTAGGCATTTTCATAGGTC